CCCACACCCACACCCACACCCACACCTACACCCACACCCGCACCCACACCCACACCCACACCCACACCCACACACCCACACCCACACCTACACCCACACCCACACCCACATCCAATAACAAAAAAAATTTCATACAACTTCGATAGATGTTATGGTATGTTTCTGTAATATTTCAGAAATTACATATCAAACATTGAATGTCGCATTGAGTTATTTTAGAAACAAGTATGTTCAGTTGTATTTAAAGCTAAATAAGAAAAAATTGACTGCTATTCATCGAAGTATATTTGCATTTTGCTCGTCGTTTATAATCTAAATGCGAATTTGATCTTATATTTTTTATCAAAATACGACACGATGACTAAAGTAACAAAGTTTTGTGCCTGTAGATGTGGGTACCGAGATGGATAAAAAGAAGACTCACATCCACATTCATACTTCTATGTGGTTCTTCATTCATCGAATACAAAAAAAAAATCTCACAAGCTTCCCAATTTCTAGAAATGGGAAGCCTCAATTATCATTTAGGAATCCTACATTAACAACTCTAATTGAAATATTTCTTGAATGAGAGATCAACATACCATTTAATTCGAGTTGTTTTTCCGCTTGTGAATAAAAATGTTTATCTCAATCATGTGTTTCTATTTTTATAGCTGAATATGACAATCATTATGGCACGTTTGACACAAACTATTCATGTGAAAATCTATTCAGCATACGCATGAAACCATCACGAGCAAAAAACTTGAAAGTCGGAAATGTTTTATTAATTATAAATTAAAAAATGTCATCAAGTGCGATTTTGGCATATCATACAAACAATTTTCTCCTTGAAATATTCATCTCATAGCAAAAACTACCAATGTTTTTTCAAAGTATAAAAAAAACAAAGTGACTTGTCTATTTAATTCTTTTTTTTCTATGTAGATACGCTAAACACGGCTCATTTTAACAGAAGAAAAAAAATAGTGAATGTCAGTATCTTCATTAAGTAATATAAAGTGAAATAAATTATTTACTTATTTTCATGTTGAATAATGGAAATAAATATGAATGAGACAATTCTCAATACGACAAGCATTGTGTCTACGATAGAAATATCGAACAGTCGAACATACAGACAAAATCTTACTTTTGGAATTTTACAAACATGTCAAATATTATCTTTTATTGCTTATCTGATTGTTGGTTATTATTTTCTTTCTTCACTAAAAGATTTAAAAAAAACACTTAGTTTTCATGGTATTTTTATTATACTTGTACTTAATTTTATTCAATTAACTTATGATTTGTCGCTAGTTCTTCAATACTTGTATACGGGGATTATTCGTCCATCAACCTATGCAAACTGTATTATATGGATGTTGATCGATTCAATTACGTATTATTCAAGTCTACTTCTCATGAGTTGGGTAGCATTTGAACGACATTTACTTATTTTTCATTCAACTTTATTTAATACAAAACGAGGTCGAATTTTTCTTCACTATCTACCAATAGCTGTTATCTGTCTGTATATCTCATCTTACTATTTTGCTGTCCACGTTCTATATCCTTGTGTCAATACATTTGATTATTCATTATTTGTGTGTGGTTTTAGTTGTTATATGAATTTACCTACACCTAATCTTTATTCTATTGAATTGATTGTCCATCAAGTTGTTCCAACAATTTTAATTGCTCTTTTCAGTATTGTACTGTTCATACGAGTTATACAAGCTCGAAATCGATTACGTCGATCAATCCAATGGCAGAAATATCGTAAAATGATCATACAACTACTGAGTATTTCCATCGTGTATATGATCTTTAGTACACCATTTTCACTAAATCCTATTGCACAGACTCTGGGATTACCAATGCCATATTCATATGATTTCTATGCGAATGTTTTCAGTTACTGGGGCTATGGAATTGCCATTACTTTGCCTTTAATTATTTGTTTCTCATTACCGAATCTGACAAATAAATTGAAAAGGCTTTTCACCACTCGCAACGTACAACGAGTAGGATTACATACATAGAATGCTTCCCTGATCCAAACGATGCTGAACATCTACATAAGAAGAACATCAAAAAAATGGTTTTGTACTTGACAACTATTTAAATACATTTTTATTGTAGAGACAATAGATTTCAAGTTCATCTTGTTCCCGTATGCCTTTGATTGTGTGCACAAATTCAACATACACTAATAAATGCCTTCAAGAATTAAAGTAATATTCCGATAAAATAAGTATTTCACGCAATCAGCATGAGAATTTCTCATTAAGTACTTTGTTAACAGAAGTAAAATTTCAAGCGACTATGAAAGTGTGTGGTATAATGAACGATTTTTCATGTTTGTTGTTGTGTTCAGAGAGGCACATTACCTTTTTTTTACTGAACGATACCAACTGTTAACAAATCAAAATTTATTTTAATATTTTAAATCGAATTTTCAAATGTATGACAAACTGATAAAAACATCGAAGGAAACTATTTCACTGTCATTTAAACCCAATAGTTCTTTTTTTTAATTAAATTAGTGTTTGTATGCAAGATTGCATGCATCTATAAACGTACGTATAATTATTCATTAATGAATGCGAAACTCTTTCTATGAGGAGAAGGAATAAGATAGGCTAGGATTGTTTCAAAACCTATACAAATAAATGAATGTTTGCATCTTTTTTCAACCACGATTCGATTCTTCTAATCAGAAGCATATCTTCTTTGCACTTTATTTATTCTAACATAAGTATCTTTAAAGTATATCGTTAGGAATTTTTGAAATATTTTTAATCTCCAATAATTTGTACATGAAAAATGATGAGAATAAACAATTGTGTTGCTTGAATGTAGTCGAGAAACATCCGTTCAGACTTTTGTGTCAAAAAATATTTTTATCTTCTTAAACTACAATGCCTACTATGTAATTGCTCAACATGCGGCTTGAAGATAAAATGACGAAAGTGATATCATTCTACTTTATGTGCATGTGTCATCATAGTCATTTCAAGCAAGACACGTAATCACCTAACTTTTCTTTTCTCTCATCTATGTAGTGCTGCAAAAAAAAGCAAACGAGAAGCGAATTCTATTACTCTATTTGCTATTTTTTCTGCTTATTTAAATGCTTACGCCTACATTCTAACTTCAATCCATAAGAGTAACAAAGAACAGAAAACAAAAAAAAAGCTGACTCAGAATTCAATATAAATATAGAATGTCTGCTAGTGACATTTGTCTTCAACAACAAAATTAGGATACTACATAAGCAATAAATGTCGGATTCAACGACTCAAGAAATTTCTATAGGTCAATGTCAATTTCTTACAATTCATTACAATCCAGCTGCTCATCCTAAACAAATCTCTTTATTAGATGCAAATGGTCAATCAATTCTTTACACATTAATACCATCAAATCAAGATAGTCCAGCACAAGTTACACCGCAACTGCAACCGAATAATATCGCTGTAATGCCAAATGCCACACACATTCCACCTAATGCGAATGTGTGTTGTATCTGTGGTAGTCATCCTGTTGCTAAATGTAGTTATGGAATAAGTCGTGGACGACCTTGTGGTCGTTTATTATGTTTATCACATATGTGTGAATTACCCGGTGCAAATGGTGGAAGATATCCACATTGCTCTGAACACTATCAATATATTCAACAAAATAAATGTAATGTTATGTAATCGAGTATTAGTTAAATAAAGTGATCACGCTGAACTTTATATTGCGAATGAAGATAACAAGTTTGCATGAATACAGAAAAAATAACTAATGAAAAGTCTTGTTCTGTAATTTTAATGCTTTAAAATAAAAGAAAATAAATAAAACTTTTTTTTATTGATTGCGAATTAGATCAAGAGTCATAAGATCCAATGCAAAAATCTTCGCACAAATGTCAAACTCTGTTAGATCATAGTATCCACTTTTGAATCAGTCGAATTTTACACGAGATATATTTTACTAGAAGTAGTCTGAACAAGAGAAGAAATCAAAAACCAATCATGTCTATAAAAGTTTTTGCAATTTCAACATTAAGCAGCAAAAAAAGAGTCTTACCAATGATATATTGGAAATAACGTTTTCTCTTGGCTTTTGTAGTAAAAGGTTTTTTCCTGGAGGAAACTATACGGACTATCAGGTAATGGAAAATCAATAACCATTGCTTTAGTACAAGAATTCTATGATCCATGGAAAGGAAGAATTTTATTTGATGGACATGATAACAAAGTATTACAACTTCCATGGATGATGATATCTATTTTCCATGAAAGTCGATCTAAATAGAATTTATAGTACATTAGCTTTAATACAAGAATGATCAGAAGTTTTTTCTTATTTCCAATGGTGCAAGTTGCTCGAAGAGCTTTTTTTTGTCTTAACCGTCAATTCACTGCCATCCTGACCAACATACCTCTTGTTCCTGTATACTTGGACTTCAACACGGTAAACAAGATGCTCACGCAACTCTACTACAAGTGTCTCTCAAAGCCATACATATGTACTATCTTGAAGGTGGATGGTGGAGTGAGAGTGAGTGTCGTTGTTCACTCTCATCCACTCGTCTACCAATCCGATGGGTGTGTGGACGATGCCCTGCCATTCTTGCGTCCCTAGTTCGTACAATAGTAGAAAAAAACTTGAAATTGTCTTACACAATCACTTAATCTTTATTTACAGTGAATAAAGTATTATACAAGAAAGCTTAAACTTAATATTAGCAGATTAAGTGGTGTCTTTTGTTTTTACAATATAAGAGCCTGAGAGAGTCTATCTTGAAGGTGGGTGAGGAAAGCCATTCACCCACCCATCCTCACCCTCTAGGTTTTCAATATTTTCTCTTCTTCGGAGCTTCTCTTCTGATGAGCTCATGTATAGTTTAATTCATATTTTTTTTCATTGTAACTACTAATATCCTATTATTAATTAATTGCACATTCATTTGAATTTTGTTTTTATTTGTTCCTCGTTTTTTTAGATATTTATCACATTTATGGATTATGCCATTCAAGATATGCTTCAAAACGTTCATCGTCTAATGCTTCATAATAACCACAACCTGACAACAACCTGGAGTCTTACGATTATCACTTGAGAGTATAATGATTATAGTAAATTTGATTAAATATGTTAAATATTTCTGTTGATGACATGACTTCGTCATCCATATTTTTTTTGTTTATTACAAAAAAAATGTAGATGAAGGGTGAGGACGGAATGGATGTCTTTTTTTTAGTCCTCATCCTCATCTACCTAGTCTGGAAAATGTTCAGTGTATTATTTTGAGATTTTAGGAATTATGATATTGTTCAGTAATCTTAAAAGCTCATAGCACATGGTACTTAGATTCATTTAGTAATCGAATCCAAAAGATGATAAATTCAAGAAGTTCGATATTTGAATTGAAAACTACTGAAAAGACTGCGCCATGGAATAGACTATTTTGATCCGATGAAAATTATGAAAATTTTCATACTACATTGTATTGTTGTTCATCTTTGATCGGTTTTTAGAAAGAAGCAACATTCAGAATAGTGTACAGAAAAGAAGCTACCAGGATGATTAGTAGAGATCGGATTTTCGACTAGTGAAGTTATCAGCAAAAATCCTGAGATAAACTCGAACTATTTATTCATGCTATTATGTTTTCTTCATTTAACTGGCTGAAATCTGCCACCCTTTATTTATTATATTTCCTTCATGTCAAACATATTATTCTGTCCCATTAATTCGTGTGAAAACAGTTCAACTTTGCGGAACTTCAACACAACGAGTCGTACATGAATAAGGAATATGACAACATTTTTCTTGAGGTCGACATTCACTATCTCCATGGCACTTGATTTCCGTCATTGAAGGCAAACACACAAAGCGTCGAAGGCAATGAATGTGAGCGGGTAGCCTTGGACATTCATCTAACAAGTATTCAAACAGTTTTCGAGACAGATTTAACAATAGTTACTCACTATCACGAACTTCTGTTGTCTGAAGTGAAGCGACACAAAACAAGCCCAGAATAAGAAAAGCGATGAGAGTGAATGAATGCATCCTTTCAATTGGTGTAGGGAAGATGAAGTGCCTCGTGTTGATATCAATCGGATTAATAAAGAAAGTGCTGTGAGGAAAAAAGACAGATGAACGCACTTTGATACCTTCGTGAGAGGTGTATTTTATCACTTTGGCGATTATTCTTTCTGTGCATGATTGGAGAATATGCGTAGTCTTATAAATGTACCTAACTCTCACTCACACACGGATAGATACTCACAGATAATGTGAAGAAAACATCTCATAACGATCTTTAATCCTCTGTAATACATTTCTATCTGTTAAAAACAAAACGGATAGTCGACTGATTGTTATTACATATCGTTTTTTTCTTCGTAGAAGATCAATAAACAGGGTAATGACAATGAATATGAAATAAGAGTGAGCTGCAATACTATTCAGTCAGTTGCACGCTATGTTATTTCTTCTCGAGTGTTACCAGTTCGTTCAGCATCTTACAACGACACTATTGTTGTGGGATATTTAGATTGTCAGAACACTAAAACATAAGCATAGAGTAATAAACCATCATATCCATTTAGTTGCATTCTCATGTATCTTTTTTAAGCTTATGAGCGGGTAGATCACGTTCATAAACTCTCTTTGGGTATATGAACATAATAAAGCGTTAGGTGAAGGGTTTTTCATTGCACGTCTTAGGTTAGTATTTTGTATCTAATCACCTTGAATCATGCTGTTCCAAAATATTTTTTATACTTTCTTAAAGCCTTTGGAATTTTGTGTCATTTAAGGTATAACTTCAATAGACTAAAATTCTGGTAGCAAAAGTTAGCTTATAACACAAATGCTTGGAGATGATGAACATCTCTGTCGATTCATACTCACAATTGGTTACCATATAGTTCGTGTTCAACCGAATAAAAAATAAGACTTCAAATTCAAAATGAGCATCGAAAACTGAGCATGAAAATGTTATTTCGTTCGATGTAAAATTCAATCGTTCAATTAGATTTCTTTCATTTTTTTGTTAAAATGTTAAGTTTTTATCTTCTAGTTTTGATAGAATTTATATCATACTCTTTAACAAAATCTGGTTTGTTGGATAAATTCTTAAACAATGCGTAATAAGAAAATTAATTTTATAGTATTAATAATGAAATGCTATCAGATATCATTGAATCTGATGAGTGATGAGAGATGAGAGTAATGCAAATATCTGAAGTAGTTATTTTTTTCCTCATTATTTGAATTCACTAAACCTTGGAAAGAGATGTGATGAGATCATTTTTCTACATTCAACAAATATTAATTTTCAACGAAATATCGACCTTCTAGTCATCGTAGACAGCTAGAACTCATTATTTTCCAATGAAAATAGAAAGGGTGGATGTGGGTGTGAGTTTTCTCTTCATATCCACGCGCACACCCACACCCTCGCTTACGAAAATCAATGTTAACTGATTATGGTGCATGTATAGTTAACTTACGTGAACAAAATGATCAATACTTCTGTACTCCTCCGACAAATTTGATCGATAAAGATTTAGATTTTCGACCAACATGTGTTCGAATACAATCTATTGAAAATTTAAGAAACAATGCAATTGATGGATTATGTACCATTGAAGTCAAATTTTGTGAAATTGGACCGAAAGTATCATTTATTTTTGAAGAATCTGATTTTAAAAAGGTAGAAAAATTAAAAAAGATAGTTGTAGTTGGTGATAAGACTGGAGCACTGGAACTTACTTTATAAGAACCGAATTTTCATCAAGTAAAACTAGGCGAATCTTATCAAATCAAACTTGTTAAAAGCTGTTTGATAAATTTTCAAGTATTATTATCTGCAGTTACTGATACATTGTAAGAACCATAGTCTATTTTTTTATAGGAGACTAACCTCTTCACCGTTAAATCTTCTTTTGAAACTAACTAGTAAACTTTTTACAAAACAACTTTTATAAATTCAGAGATATTTAAGGATAATACAAACATCAGAATCAGTAGGGCGTGCTCTAGTCAGTGCAGGATATCAAAATCGACACAGAACATATAAAAAAACCAGAGTTAAAGAATTATAATCTTCATCTTTTCTAGAAAGATTGCTTTGACGAGTATACTCGTCAAGAACAGTGAAGGGGTTTAAGGCCTTCTCCTCTCAAAAAAAGTCAATTTTCGTCAGAAATTTCGAAATTGAAACAAATGCATGGGAAGATAGTTCATCTTCTACTCTTTCAGAAACGATATTAGCTTTTCTTCGGTACCGCGTTTTTGGCCAAAATTTTCGATGATTTTCGTTAACCTCTTCTTGAAAAATATGCTTAAAGGGTGATTCAAAAGGGTGTGGGTGCGGACGAGGATTTTGTCTTCGTACCCACACCCACACCCTCACACCCAACTGTATAGACTTCTAATAGATTCTGGATAAAAATTTTTCTTCGATCCCTGGACGACTCCAGGCGTCACAAATCGAATCATGAGGAGATACAAAATAAACTTGTGAAAAACAATTAGGATTCAATACTGATTATAGAGTTAATAAAATTAGGTTCAGATTTTTTTGAGACACTGAAATAGTAACGTGGCACATCTTCTTTCTCAAATCATTGTTTAGTTTGACAATCGTTCTACACTGGCTTCTATATCCATTCGATGTTCATGCCAAGAGGGTAAACATTTTTCGTAGATAGCTAATGCTTGTTTGTAATAATCGAGTGCTAATTTTGGTTTATTGAGATGCTCATAACTTTGACCAATTCGAAAAAAACTATCACCAATCTCTACATGATCTGGTGGTAAAACTTTCATACGCATTAAACAGCCATTCATTTCATATGTCAAGGAAAGTTCATGGTAATTTCCATTTCTTTGAAGTTGACTCATATAGATTAGAGTGTCAGCAATCATAGGATCATTTTTAGATAAACTCCATTCTCTAATACATAGACATCTTTTGCAATATTCAATAGCACGATCAACATCAGTCTTTGTATTCCAAATATCTGCGATCTCTCGTAGACAATTAGCTATTTCAATATGATGCATAGGATGATATTCTTCAAATATAGATAGTGCTTGTTGATAAAAATTAAGAGCATCATCATACTCTTCTTGTTGATAGTGTACATCACCTATTTCTATCAAATTTTTGGCAATCATGAAATGATCAAATGGTCGATGTTCCTTCCGAATCTCTAATGCTTGATGTTGCATATCCAGAGCTTCGTCGTATTCTAATCGTGCTTTGAAAACTGCACTCATATTAAGTAATACAGTGGCCATATCTGCATAATCAGAAGGATAATCCTTTTTGTAGTGTATCAAAGCTTTTTGATAAAAGTCAATGGATTCATCATATCTAGCTTGCATATACATTGTGTTACCCATATAACCGAAAGTTCTACCAATACTTGTATGACTGTATGTAGAACATTTTTCACTGATTTCTAATGCTTGTTGTTGAAGTTCGAATGCTTTATCGTATTGTTTTTGTTCACATAAAATATTTGACATACGATTAAGACACGAAATCGTATTAGCATGACCATCTGGATACAATGTCTCATAGATTTTCAATATTTTTTGTTCCAGATCAAGAGCTTCATCATACTTTGTTTGTACTTGTAGAACATAGCTGATCTCTTGTAGACTATTGGCAATTTCAACTTGATCAGATGAACAATATTGTTCTCTGATAGAGAGTGCTTGTTGATAGACTTCGAGAGCTTTATCATAGTCTTTTAGACGTATTTGAAGATGACCGATGTTTGTAAGATCACTTGCAATTTGATCATGATTTGATGAACAATGTTCTTCTCTTATCGCTAATATTCGTTGTCGACAGACAAGTGCTTCAGAGTATTTTCCTTGATCATTAAGTACATCAGCAATATTACTAAGACAAACAATAATATCATTATGATTGGATGAATAAAATTCTTGACACATAGCAAGTACTTGTCGATAATGTTCAAGAGCTTCATTATACTTCTCTTGGTCTCGAAGGATATTACCAATATTGTTGAGATTATAAAGAATGTACGGATGACTTGATGGATAATGAACTTCTCGTATTTTGAATGCTCGCTTTTGAAAATCGAGTGCATCATCATATTTTCTTTGCCGACTAAATGTATTACTAATGTTACAAAGAAGAATGACAATGCCATCGTGATCATCTGGATAAAATGTTTCTCGAATATATAATGTTCGTTGATAAAAATCAAGAGCTTCATTGTATTTTTCTTGATCGATGAAAATATTAGCAATATCAGTCAATTGTTCAACTATTCTCATACGATTCAATGGATAACGTTTTCCTTGAATTGCTAGAGCTCGTTGTTGAAATTTAACAGCATCGGCATATTTACCTTGATTATACAAAATACGACTCATTTCTATACAACTAGTGACAATATCGGGATGATCAGATGGTAAGAATTTTTCTCTGATTGATAGTTCACGTTGTCGATATTCAAGAGCTTGTTCTTGTTTATCTTGTGAACATAGAATGACACTCATATTGCTTAGGTTTTGAGCAATTTGTAATTGTTCTGAAGGATAATACTTTCCAAGTCTTAGAAGTAATGAATGCACTTGTTGCAAGAAATCCAATGCTTCATCATACTTTTTTTCATTCTCTAGTACAAAAGCGATATATGTAAGTGTTATAGCAACTCTGATATGTCCTGAAGGATAATTTTTCTCATAAATTTCTAATGCTTTTTTATGATATTTCATGGCTTCATCGAACTTTTCCTGTCGACGAAATACATTACCAATATTGGTAAATATACTAGCAATGTTAGGATGATCAGAATGATAATAACTCTTTAGAATGTCTAATGCTCTTTGATAGGAGTCCATAGCTTCATCGAACTTTTCTTGATTAATTAGAATATGACCGATACCAATCAAATTATCAGCAATGTCACTACTAGGATATATACAGTATTTTTCGAGCATCGAAAATGCTTGTCGATAGGATTCCAAAGCTTCATCATATTTTTCTTGTAGAGATAATACATTACCTATATTTTGAAATGTAAAAGCTATATTCACATGACCCAAAGGATAGTAGTTGTTTTGCATCATTAATGCTTGTTTATAATAATATAAAGCTTCTTCATATTTTGCTTCATCACTGAGTATGTGTCCGATGCGATTAAAGGTGTATGCTATGGCGGCTTGAAATGATGGATAATACTTCTCTTGCAAAGTAAGTACTTGTCGATGAAAGTTCATGGCATTATCAAGGTGTCCTAATCTACAAAGAGTATCACCAATGTTATGCAGAAGATAGTTAAGTTCAATATGACCATAAAACAAATATTGTTTCAATATTGTGAATGAATGCTGATAGAATTCTAAAGCATAATTATAATTTTCTTGTCCATAATTAATATTACCAATAGTACAAAGATTGTAAGCAGTAATCATATGATCAACTGGATAACGTTTCTTTTCCATTTTTACTGCTCGATGATGAATGTCAATAGCTTCATCATATTTATCTTGTCGACAAAGAATATTTGCCATGTCGTTGAGTGCCAATGTAATGTATACATGACCGAAAGGATAATATTTTTCGTAGATTGCTATTGAACGTCGATAAAAGCCGAGAGCTTTATCGAGATTTCCTTGCTCACGAACACAGAGTCCAATAGAAACTAGACACTTGGCAATATCAACATGACAACAATTATAATATTTCTCCAAGATTGTTAATGCTTCTTGAAATTGTACGAATGCTTGATCATGTTTCTCTTGCATATGGAGAACATCACCAATATTACGCAGACTAGTTGCTATATGTACATGATTAGAAGAATAGTATTCCTTACGAATTTTTAACACTTGTTTATGAAAATTTATCGCTTCTTCGAATTTTCCTTCTAAATAGAGAAGTTCTCCTATATCGGAAAGTATTCGAGCTGAATCTTTGATTCGGATTTGTTTCGGATTCATCATTCAATTGTAAGCACGATTATAATATTTACGTGCTAGAATAAATTCTCGTTTCAAATGATGAATTTCACCAAGACTATGTTCTATCCATGCTTGATCTGTAGAATTTCGATTGTTTAACAAACGTTCAAAATATTTTTGTGATTGATCCCATTGACCCATGTCTAACATAAGACGTGCGAATACAATTTCAATATTTAGATTTTCAATCTGATGCCGTGTATCTTCAATATATTTTTTAAGAATAGTTTTTCCTTCATTCGAAATATTCATTTTAATAATCCAGATGTTTTCATTAAGTTCAATATTGTTTAAATTAAATGTAACATTTAAATTGAAGAGAATATCATCTTGATAAGAAACTTCATTAGATTTATCTATGTCAGTAAAGATAATATTTTTGTTAAAATCTTCAGAATTACATTCAATTTCTAAAATGGCAGCAATGAAATTTGTTTGTCTTACTGATTTTCTAGCAAAATTCAATGCTTTTAATCGAAATCGAGTTGCCGCCAAGAATCCATTGATTGAAATATGTTTTCCTTCATATTCTTTGAATTTTTCAAGTTGTTCTCTTGATAATTTAATTCCTCGATAAACGATCAGACTTTTTTCTTTTTCATAATGAATTCTGTTTTGATATTGACATTCAAAATTTTGTATAAGTTCTCTTATAAAATACCTCAATGTGTACAATTGGTTCATGTCTTTTTTTTGTAATTGTTTCTTAATTATTTTATATGGAAATAATCTCATTCGAATACCATTGAATAACATTGTCTGAACAATAATCATGTTCAAATTTCTCAATTAATTTTAAGTTTTTTAAATTATCTTGATAATATTGACGATATAAATTGATCATTTCATTCTTAGCTGATTGATCATGTGATAACTCTAAAATAATATTATTAAAAAGTTGAAACCACAATAAATCGGATGTTTGTTTCGATAGATCTTGTATTAAATATTCATGTTGATCAAAGAAACTGAATGTTTGAAATAATTCCTCGTCAAATTCAATTTGTTCTTGAATTGATAAATATAAATTGTCTAATTTAGTATAGAGACCAATGAATTTCAAATCGTCAACAATGAATGCATTGCTTTGCTCTTTATCAAAATCGAATATGAAGATGAAATGTATTTGTGAAAGTGTATTAATCTGAGACAATATTTGAGAGGCATTTATACTCGATGTAATCAAGAAAATTTTCTCTTTATCAATCGATTGAATATAGTTTATGCAAGATTCAATTTCACTATAATATAAATTATAATCATTTATTTGACGTAATTGTTCATTAATATTTTTTGCATGATTGTATAAATGAATATTGGAATCAAACCAAACAATAGTAATACTTTCTTTATTTTCTTGTCTATTCACCATTTTTGATTGTTTGATAGTCTAATAGTACATTGAAGACATAAAGCATAAATAGGAAAAGCGCGACAGGGTAGCTCACTTCTCCGTTGTTTTAGAAAGTCTGTTTATCGAGCGTACCTATCCTAAAAACTCAGTGAGAAGAGTAAAATTTCTCGATAGAATTTTTTACACACAACTTCCTAAACATATCGAACAATGAAGTGTCTGGTTCCGTTCTAACGACGAAATCGTTCTATTAGAACTACTGACCCTAATAAATCGATCCAACGTCGTAAGTATTAAAGAAGCGAAAGTACTAGAACTCAATGATTGTATTTAGGCAGGATCGAAATGAGATAGGTAGAATTTGGACATTAATATAGACGGATGGATCAGGATGATCGAGTATATTCTGCAAGAAACTTTTCATGAAAGACTACATTTTTAAAAAAAAAGTTCTGAAAAGGCTGCGGAAGATGTGTAGTTCGACAAGATGGAAAGATGCTTTTGTATATTATCTAAAAGAACGAAGAGGATTGACAAGACACTATTTTTTACTCAATGGATTGTGAATAAAAAATCAAACATGTTTTAGATTGGAAACTATATAGTATGGAGCGAAAATTCTCAATGGAGTTGCTCAGCTTTCTTGACAACTTGTTGATTACATCACTACTTTAGACTAATAACTTATGGCATTTTTAATAATAGATAGAAAAAATTCAGAACATATGTGATAGTAGAACATCTGTATATTTACTTACTAAGAAGCCAAGTTTCTGGTAATTTGGACTTGACTAATTTTCATGGAAACTCAAAATGCCTCAACAACAATATTTTGATGTGTATTAGACTTTTCGACAGCTAGCTAAATAGATATGCAGACTTTACAGGTATTGTTGACTTATCGCAATAAATGAGAGAGTAGTTATCTTGATACCTAAAATCATCATAAAAAGAACGAAAGTATCATAAAAAAAAGGTGCAGCTCTTATCATACTTCATCCAAATGACGACTAAAAAGTAGTGGGTGCACGGATGAAAGTGATAGTTTTGAAGAAAAGAAAATACTGACTCACGTGCTCATATTTTTTCATGCATGATGCCGAAAAAAATCCATTTTAGATTTGTTTCATTGTATTTTGTGAGCATGTTCTTATTTTGACAACATAAGACAAGGTTCAGATTGAGGGTGAGTGTGAGTGTGGGTGTTAGAGTTCTCATTCATACTTCCACACCCGACACCCAAACCCACATGCACATCCTTTTCATCAGAAGTATATATTTACAGCTAATATTTCACTTTAAAAATGTATATATTATTTTTTCGAATATATAGAAAAAATTATTAAAAAAAAATATTTAATTTTGGTTTTTATTAAAATTTTATATGATTACCAATTTATACTGACGGATACTAATGCCTGTAATTAAAAAGAGAGATCTATAGAGAACATTATACTCTTAGTTAAACAACACTTTAACTTCATATTAATAAGAAAAATACTAAATATAAATAGGGTGTGGATGTGGGTGTGGGTGTGGGTGTGGGGTGTGGGTGTGGGTGTGGGTGTGGGTGGTGGGTGTGGGTGTGGGTGTGGGTGTTGATGAAGAGAACACCCACACCCACACCCACATCCACATCCACAGCCACAGCCACACCCACACCCACACACACCCCACACCCACCCACACCCAC